ATGTTTGAGTTTAGTAAGGCTGCCAACAACTCCCTTCTCCTAGACCAACCCCCAGACAAGTTGGAAAGAGTCCAGTGGAGGGCAACAAAAATGGTTTGGGGGCTGGGGCACATGACTTATGCAGAAAGGCTGAGGCATAGTTAGTCTGCGGAAGAGAAGACTGGACAGAGGGTGGATTTGATAGCAGCCTTCAGCTCCCTGAAGGGTGCTTCCAAAGATGATGGAGCTAGATCAGGGGCAGGCAAGGTCCAGCCCACAGGCCAGATCAGACCCACAGAAGACTTCATTTCCCAGCAGCCCCTGCCCGCATTTCTCTGGCCAGTTTCCATGGAGACCCCAGCAGCGGCAGCACTCTGACATCTGGGGCCAGGGTTTCCATGGAGACTGGCCCCAGCAGCACTGGCAGGGTGGGTGGCATGGCGGGGAGCTGCTCCAGGGCAGGGGTGTGCAAGCAGCGAATTGTGCCACTGCCCCAACTCCAGACCACGTTGTCACCACTGCAACATCCCAGCCCCAGCTGCGGAGCAGCTCCCTGCCCTGCTGCATGCCCTGCCAGCACTGCTAGGGCTGGTCTCCATGAAAACCTGATTGCATGCTCTCATGGCACCACCCGTGCTGGGGTCCCCATGGAAACTGATGGCAGCAGTGCAGGGAGAGGCTGCTGGGAAATGGAGTATGGAGCCCTTTATTAAAGGAGGGGATGCCTCCACCCAGGTCTTTCCTCCAGGCAGGAGAAGGGGTGTGATACATGCTGCCTTCTAACTCAGGGTTGCAGCAAGGGAAACTGCAGCAAAGGAAGTTGAGATTGATAGGAAAAATGTTCTCACTCATGGTGGTAAAGCACTGGGACAGGTTACCTGGAGAGGTGGTGGAGTCTCAATTCTTGGAGGTGTTTAAGACCTGGCTTCACAAAGCTATGGCTGGGACAGTGTAGTTGGGGTTGCTTTGATCAGGAGTTTCATAGATTTCATAGATTTCATAGACATCAGGGCTGGAAGGGACCTCGGAAGATCATCGAGTCCAGCCCCCCGCCCAAAGAGCAGGAAGTCAGCTGGGGTCATAGGATCCCAGCAAGATAAACATCCAGTTTCATCTTGAAGGTGTTCAATGAAGGCGCTTGAACCACCTCCGGTGGCAGGCTGTTCCAGACCTTGGGGGCTCGGACAGTAAAGAAATTCTTCTTTGTGTCCAGCCTGAAACGATCTTGAAGTAGTTTGTGACCATTCGACCTCGTCATCCCTTGGGGCGCTCTGGTGAACAAACGCTCCCCCAGATGCTGGTGGTCACCCCTGATAAACTTGTAGGTGGCCATCAAGTTGGACTAGATGTGACCTCCTGAGGTCCCTTCAGCCCTCATTGTCTATGTTTCTCTGACTGTCTTGCAAGAGATAATGAAGTTAATGCTATTTTTAAATACATCCAAAGTGGAAGGACATTGAGAGAAACAGTGGGCCCATTAGATGACCAAGCTGTAAAAGGTCCAGTCAGGGAGGTAGGGCCATAGGATGGAATCCAAAAGAATAGAGAATATGCTGACAGGACAGAATGTGGACAGTATGACGACTACAGGGAACTCAATCAATGGTACCTGGAGATGAAGAGTCATCAGGAGGGTAAAGGAATACAAAAGGAGGGATATCAGAGCAGCTAAGGGTCCCTGAGGGGGGAACCTGAGGCTACCATGGACAGACAGCACACCACCAGTCCGTGTCACCCACCCCACTGGGAAGGGTGGGCCTTAGCCCTCGACCTCCAGGCTGCTCACATCTGACATTCAAGAGAGAAGCTCACGGTGAAGCTCGTGTACTGGCCAGATGCACCCTCTGTGACAGCCCTAGGGCAAGTAGATATAGAGTTGGGTGGGTTATTTTGTTTGTCTTTCCTGCTTTATTCTTATCTGCTGTCACTGTGTATCAATAAAATTTGCCTATTATCAAATGGAAGAAGTCATGGTTGGTATGAGGGTTTGGGTCCACCCAGAATGAGGTATCTGGGTCATAAGTCAAGTGCCAACAAGGGGGGCCAGGACAGCCAATGTCCTGCTGCTGTAGAAGTTGTTAATATACATTCAAGAGATTTTAGGCAGAGGCTGTACCACTGCTACAGAGGAAGACAGGTGGTACAATTTCTTCCTGACCCCAAATATTGAGATCAATCTGACCCTGATCCCATCCCATGTCTTGCAGGTTGAATTCCACTAAATAACAATCAATCTCCTCTAAAAAGAACACCTCCTTTCATGGGAAGCAGGACACATTTTGCTATTACTGATATTATTGTTTTATTTCTGTCTTGTAAGTTGTTGTTTTTTGTTTTATCATTATTGAGAAAATACTTTTTGAAAAACTTAAAAGACCTATGGGATTGTTCCCTTCCCTTCCTTTGCTCCCACTATCGGTTTGTTAGACTTCCCAGGCAGATTTTGTGTCCGAGTGGACAACCTCAGTGTTGACTGAGATACCTGACTAAAGGGCAGGAGTACTCCTATGACTGTCTCTAGGTGTACAAGTGCCTCTGTTAGAGGGATAGCGAGACATCTGTGCGCATTTGGAGGGCAAATCTATTCTGATCAAGGGGATACACATGTACTCAGGAACAGAAGTTGGACCCTGGCCTTAAACTGAGACTTTAAACATATTAGATCACAAAGTCAGATCTTTCTATCTCCCTCTCTCCCCTCCTTTACCCCCACTCTTTCCCACCCCCAACACTTTGGTACCCAGAATTGCCCCTATTGGTCTGTGCTAGCATGTCACTTCCTGCTGTGCTCTCTTGAACTTATAAAATGATCAGAAGTTTATATAATTATACACTGAACTGCCCCATGCTGGACTGGAGCTGTGCTGTGATGGCTCATCTGGACCTCTGGGTAGCTGGAAGCTTATTTCTCAACTGTTTCCTAGTAAATGAGTTGGGGATGGTGCTGCTTTGAGCAGGGGGTTAGACTAGATGTGACCTCCTGAGGTGCCTTCAACCCTCATTTTCTACGATTCTATGAGATTGCATGTTTCCATTGTGTCCTGCAGGACACGTTCAACACCTTGGCCCAGTCCTCTGCCTCTGGAGCTAAAGGAGTAGCTCTCTTAGCTAGTACAACAATATATTATTATCCTCCAATGACCCAGCTATGAGCATGGGACATGGCACAGTAGACTACACATACATGCCCGTATTTGATTATGCATAAGTAAAAATACAGGCAATAAATGGTGTGTTATCCATAGCAGGCTTTAAAAAAAGACAAGAAAGGTATAGACACCTAGAGAGTTAATTTAGTCCCTGCTTTAGCCACGGCAGTTCTGTTGACCTCAATCATGATGACATCTTCCAGCGTAATAGGGAATGCCCCCTGAGATGTTGCAAGCATGAAACATAAACCCAGGGTAATAGGGAATCCCCCCTGAGATGTTGCAAGCATGAAACATAAATAGTTCGACTCTGATTGCTGGCTGGAAGTGCCTCATAGTTTCATAGTTTCAGGGTCACATAAATAGTTTGACTCTGATTGCTGGCTGGAAGTGCCTCCTCCAGTTGGGTGATGGATTGGGGTTTGCCACTTGAGTCTGGTGAACATAACCTGGCCAAGACGTTTCCTGACCGCCTGTTTCCAAGGTAAAAGCACCTGTTTCTAGCCAGCATTGCAAACCCGTCCTACTCCACCAAGCACTTGAGGCTGTTGAACCCTCCTGGCTTTGAGGTGGGTGTGCAGGGCAGTGAGTGGGGTATTCAGCCAGGTCAGGCTGCAGTATAGACAGACCAATAGATACGTTGATCAATAGATCAATTAATATGCTGCCCAGATACCTGTTGGTCAAAGAATGACTGTATCTAACTATCCCTCCAGGTAGGTAGCTGAATGTGGG